GTAGGGCCACCTAGCCCTTAGGTAGGTGGCCTACATCGCACGATCAGTCACTGATCGTGCGATGTGGTTACTCTCGGTCCAGGGCCGAGATTCGGGTTGTTCTCGGCCCTGGACACCATCGCACAATCATCAGGTGATTGTGCGATGGAGGCCACCTAAGGGCTAGGTGGCCCTACTTTTAAAGTTTGGCCACCTAGCCCTTAGGTAGGTAGGTGGCCTCCATCGCACGATCACCTGGTGATCGTGCGATGGTGGGTCTATCAGGCCAGGGCCGAGAATCTGTTTATTCTCGGCCCCGGACTCCATCGCACGATCAGCAGGTCGTGCGATGGCTGAGGACATAGCCCGGGGCCGAGAATCCGTTTATTCTCGGCCCCGGACTCCATCGCACGATCAGCAGGTGATCGTGCGATGGAGGCCACCTAAGGGCTAGGTGGCCTAACTTTTAAAGTTGGGCCACCTAGCCCTTAGGTGGCATTGAGCAATGACCCGCCCACCGAAGCGCTAGGCAGCCAAACTGTAAAAGTAGGGCCACCTCATTGGTGGCACCACCTGAGCAGTAGGTGGCCCATCTTTCAAAGTATGGCCACCTACTGCTCAGGTGGTGTTCTTGGGCTATGAATATATCAAATTGACCTGGTCAAACAGGTCACATAGTTATTTTTTACTTGGAGAAAGATTTTGTATATGTATGAATTTTTTTTTATACTTGGAGAAAAAATTTGTACATGTATGAACTGTTTCAATTTTTTTTGTGTTTGATGTTAGACCGTTTGGTATGAGACTGATCATCCAAAATTTTTTCCTTAGTCAATACAAAAAAAATGGATGACACAGTATCAGTACCAAGTGTTTGAAAACATTGTGATAAGACAAATAAGTTATGAATATTATCTTCAGGTTCCGCGTCATCAGGTTGAGGCGAACAAATAGAAATTTTTATCAATACATTTTATGTTGATGTTCTCAATGAGCTATCCCCGGGGGTTTTTTTTTGGAAAATTTTTCCACAGTGTTGATTCCTATTCAGTTGCCACTTGCAGCCCTTGAGTGGCACCTGCAATGCAGCATAGGGGGACCCACGATGCCCCTCATCCCCTGATGGAACATGTGACATGGGATTTGCATCAATATCAGGAGCTTGTGCGTGGATCTGCGAGATCCTTGATTATGAGGTAAATTGTGTAAATCCGCACAGCACATTTGAGCTCATATAAAGCAAGCTTCATGCCCTCAAAGTATATTGTCCCTCATTCCAATCTACCAATTTCTATCCTCTTCATCTTCATTTCGTCATCATGTTTGTCACACCTCAACAAAATTTAAGCCAACCAGTATGTGCTGGGATGATATCTTTCATTGGAACATCCCCATCAGTCACCTGTGTTCCTGAAGGTCTCTGCTCACACCAATATCACACCAGAGACCAGTTTATATCTTCCAACTGGTATTTCATTGGGGTATGTCCCTACCGGTGTTGATAGTTGTTTCTTTAAGCTGCTTGGGACAACTCCTCGTATATATAAAGCTCTACCTGCTGGCGGATGGAAACCTAGTACAATATTTGACCCCAGTCATCCAGTTCTCATCAGCTTGAGTGTCAACACCGCTATTGTAGAATTTGATGGGCATGAAGCAACTCAATTGCAAGTCAATGTACTTATATTCATCCCAAAGTGGTACGAAGGAAGCCTTGTCCAGACAGTCAGACACTTCAAAATCAACCTCCACCGTCCTCCTCATTACAAGCCTCAAGAACATCAACTTATCCCTCTGGTGGATCTAGAAGCACAGACCACTCCCAACTGGGCCTCAGCATTTCCTGATCATGTGTTGTCCAGGGAAGAGGTCACAACGCTTGCGTCCATTTCATGTGGTTCAGATCTTCAGCCAGTCAATCCTTCGGCGATAGTTACTTCTCAGCTACAACCACATCAGAAGCAAGGCCTGGCCTTTTTGATAGACCGCAAAAATCCAGATTCAACAACTTATCACTCCCTTTGGTTTTACAAATCAATGCCACCCTTCAGCCGGTGGAGTCACCGTCTCTGTGGTGAAGAATTTATTGTGACTGACACACAAACCAGACCAGTCAGCCCTAGGGCATCAATTCTAGCGGATGACATGGGACTTGGTAAAACTATTCAAACTATTTCTTTGATTGCTACCACACTGGAAGCATCAAGACAATTCAAACATCAGGATTCAGCATCAGATCTCAACCACGCAAACAATCACCTACGTCCATCTCACACCACTCTGTTGATCTGTCCTACTAGTCTCATGGATAACTGGGAACATGAAGTCGAAAAACACACTAAGAAAAACAGTTTGAAAATTATGCGCTGGCATGGCATAGACAGAGTCAAACTACCTCTACGTGATATCCACTCAGCTGACATCATCCTTACAACCCCCAACACACTTTTATATGACTACCGGCTTGCTGGATTAAGCCGCCTCCCTTTTACAACCAGGTGGTACAGAGTGGTCATTGATGAAGCTCAGTGAGTATCAACTACTTTTGCCAAGTTAACATTTACCAAGCTGACCCTCTACTGGTCCCAGTATAATCCGTAATGATACCAGCTCCCATGCAGTCCTCACCTCTGTGGAATCAGTCAACCGGCTCTGTCTCACTGGAACTCCACTCCATAACCGAATTGGAGACTTGCACATGCTCTTCAAATTTCTGCGCATCAAGCCATTTCACCAAGACTCTGTATGGTACCTTCAAATCACTCTGCCTGTTCATCAAGGAAATTTGGACACACTCAACCAGTTACTAAGATACTTTATGCTGAGGCGGACAAAAGCTAGCCACCTACGTGATTTACCTCCAATATATCATGAGACCATCTTATTGGACATGCATCCTCAAGTGAAACAAGTATATCAGCAACATTATGAAAGATTTCTTCGGGAATTTGGGGTTAGCTCTCAAATCCAACATAAACAAGGTGAATATTTCAGACAATTGAGCAATCTCAGGATGACGTGCAATCACCCTCTTTTATTCAAACAAGAACAAGGGTTCAATCAGATCAAGATTACAGAGATGGAGGAGGAGCTAGGAATCATGGTGCCTGACGGGAGGGAATTGACTGCGGAGGCCAGGCCAGCCTACCTGGAGGACTGGTCACTGAGCAGCAAGCTTACATTCTTGGTTTCCCAGCTCAAAAAGAAGCAGGGCCTTTTGCATAAAGGTCTATCCAAGAAGACTGTTATCTATACACAATGGAGGTGTTTCATGGAGTGGTAAATATTTTTTTCTCTCGAATATAATTTGTCCTGTACGCTCACCTGATCAAGCCACAGGATCATGATTGCATTGGAATGTCACGGCATTTCAAGTGGGTCCTTGCACGGTGGAATGACAACTCAGCAGAGAACATGGCAACTCACCAGATTCCAGACCAACATCCAGATTGAGGCCTTCATAGTATCTATTGAAGCTGGAGGTGTTGGCTTGAATATGACATGTGCTGATGAGGTCTACCTGATGGTGAGAATGTTATCAATTATCCATATACTGTCTTTACATTTAGCTAAAAGGAATATCATTAGGATGCCCATTGGAATCCGCAGATTGTGCAACAAGCAATTGACCGTCTACATCGAATAGGCCAGACCCACCCTGTGAAGGTGTATCATGTGGTTGCAGGGGAATCGGTTGAACAGCACCTATTCAATGTGAGTCAATTGCTCTGGTGTCAAGAAAGCAGCATACTCACCATGAGGTGCAAACCTTTTTGTTCGCCCTTCAGGTACAGAAAAAGAAAGCTTCCCTAGCAAGAAAAGTAATTGCATTGTCGGTTCCCAAGGATCAACTTAAAAATTGCATCAACCCACGGCACAAAATGAATGTCTTGGAGGATATAGGCAATGTGAATGCATGCTATGCAGAATATGCCTAGATGCTCAAGGGTTCCATGAATCAGTCCAACAATATATGTAGAATTTGTATTACAAATTTTCACCACATGTTCCTTCTAACTTCTCTTCTGTCCTTTTTGTTCTTCTTCCGAAAACAAGAGTATTGTATCTCGTAGTGTGTTTACTTTGCTCACAACAATCCATACTATTGACCATTACAAAGTTTACAAGACAGAGATGCAGGTAATAGTGAGATAGAATACTCAGTTTTCCAAAACCATAGAATCATGACCTTCAACATGGGCAAAGGGAGTGTTACTCCAAGACAAATCTTTCAATCTTGCTAATACAACATCGAAACAACCCCAAAAATTTCCAATGTCCAAATCACCGCTCACAATTCCAACTTCTTCCATGACTTGATCAACCACCGGGGAAAACCACTCAGGGGTTGTGCTCCACAAGTGTTCTTGCTCTGGGTACTCATCAGCAAGGATAGCATCCACCGCTTCACCTGGGACAGGTATGAGGTATTCAATCCCACCAAATTCGTCAACGGGGTTTTTGTAGCAGTAGTCTGCAGAACATCCAGTAGGTAATTTAGACCGCTTGTCGTGTCGTCTGCAGAAACCATTGTAAAACTTGACCCATTTGTCCAGAGCTCGTTGAAAGACGGGGATAAATAGGTGGAGAAACAAGGTCCTGAAAAGCAATAACAAAGATTTCAGCATGGAATCACCAATTAAAAAAAAAGGAGCTTCACCTAGACATTGGATCATTGTCATTATATAAATCTTGATCAATGCGCTCTTGAATTTTAGCTTTGATATTTCCAGTCAGTCCACAAGTCATTTTGTCCCAGAAGCACTCAATCTTTTGGTTACAAGGGGACGGGACATATTGATGATAAGGCCAGTCTGGAGCTCTGGAACCGTAAGTTTCTCCAAAATAAAGTTGATGTCCAGCAAGAGGAACAGTCTCAGTTCCTCGATCCGTGGTGAGCTTTTTGGGAATGCCACCTTGTTTCTTGACAAGGCCCAGATACCACAAGTCAACATGGCGGGGGTCGCTGTTGGTGACATGAGCATGAAGTCCCAAAATCTTTCGAGACCAGCAATCAATGAATCCATATATACCAATTCCAAAGTTGATCAACTTGTCGTGTCCATCAGAAGCCCAAACCTCATTGGGACCGCCCGCATAGTATTCCCGTCGCTTGAGTTTATGAGCAGCTCGCATTCTGACAGCATCTGGGTCCATTTCCTTCATCATAGCCGCAATAACATCACTATCTCATTCAAATGTAATTAGCATCAGAGCAAATGGAATCAAGAAGGCCCAAACACTTGCCGGTGGATGTGAACCTCGTGTTCCTGAGCTAGCATCTTCTTGACACTCTTGATTCCAAGTACATTTCCATATTCAATCTGAAGTTCTTCAATCTTGTTACATACGGTGGCATAAGTTACTACACCCATGTCAAGATCATCCTTTTGGCGGTGAAGATTGAGTTGCTTCTCAAGTCGAGCTAAAGTTGACCGGCTGATGATGATGTTGTGTTCGTTTTTAAGGGAAATGAGAGCTCGCTTTTGGTTAAGAGATTGTTTGTAATTATCTATTACTGCATCCTTTACAACCTCCACATCATAATTTCCTTGTTGTTTCAAGTCCCATTCTTTGATTCGTCTTCTAACAGTTCTTACACAGACTCGGATGTTGTGCCGTCGCCAAACAGTGTCGCATACTGTTTGTGCTGGCCAGTTGTTAGCCACAGATTCTTCAACAAGGGGTCGCAAGATTTCATCAGATATTTTTGCTGGCATGTTGGTGTGTAGTTGGTGATGGAGACTGAAGGTGATTTGATGAGGGCGGTCGAAAAAGAGAAGATCGAGGACAGTTGACAAAGAAATAAGAAGATCGAGGACGAATGACAAAGAAATAAGAAGATCGAGGACGGTTGACGAAGATCGAGGATGGTTGACAAAGAAATAAGAAGATCGAGGACGGTTGACGAAGAAAGAAGAAGATTGAGGAAGATCGAGGACGGTTGACGAAGAAAGAAGAAGATTGAAGACGGTTGACGAAGATTGAGGAAGATTGAAGACGGTTGACGAAGAAAGAAGAAGATTGAAGACGGTTGACAAAGATTGAGGAAGATTGAAGACGGTTGACAAAGATTGAGGAAGATTGAAGACGGTTGACAAAGATTGAGGAAGATTGAAGACGGTTGACGATGATCAAGGACAGTTGACGAAGAAAGAAGATGATTGAGGAAGATTGAGGACGGTTGACGAAGAAAGATGAAGATTGAGGACGGATGACGAAGATTGAGGAAGATCAAGGACAGTTGACAAAGATTGATGATGATCGAGGCCAGTTGACGAAGATTGAGGAAGATCAAAGACGGTTGACGAAGAAAGATGAAGATTGAGGAAGATCAAGGACAGTTGACAATGATTGGAGAAGATCAAGGGCAATCAAAGAGGATTGATGATGGTGGAAGAGGGTTTTGGAGGAGAGCGAGACAGGAAGCAGGTACTTTGAAGCTCTTGAGACAGATGGTAGAATGTCTCCGGTCGGAGGTGTTGATACCTGTGAGACTGAGCTTGTAGATAGTTGGCCAACATGTGGTTTTTGGCTGCAGTAGAATCTACCATTGGTGTTTGAGTTGTACAGTTTGAGAACTGTATTTTATGTTTTTTGATTTTATGTTTTTGATTTTTTGTTCTTGGGGTTGCTGGTACTTTTTGTCAAAAGGTGACAATGCAATGAAAACGGTGTCGACCACTGGAAATTTGGGCAAAAATGTGTTTATGCCATGATTTTTACTCCGGTACAGGGGTTTTATCCCTGTATTTGAGTATTTTCTGTAGTTTTGTCTTTGATTTTTGAATTTCGCACCCGGGGATTGTGATTTTTGATTTTTGAAATTTTGCATTGTCACTTTGGAACGTCTCGCATTCCGTAGACCGGAAACCTACCTAAAGTCAAATGGCGGATGCGGTGAGGTTTCATTCCTAGAGCATCGATACCTGCCTTAACAATTAATCCCAACTTGTGGCAAAAACAGCGTATCAACATGGAATTGGGTTCCCACGACAGCTGATGGTCTTGAATTATACTTTCCTCCTTGAGCTGCCGATGCATCTCGCGTGCCATGGTGAAGTTATTGCTACCTGAATCAGAGCACATGGCAAGCATGTAAGATTGGAAAACATGTCAGTATAAGAAATAGAATACAAAGAAAGTAAAATGAAAAAACTCATATTTTGGTACAAATTATTCTTCTTCAATATTGCCACCATCGGCTCGGCCAGAAGAGTACCCTTGTGATGCCAAGCCACCAATTTCATACTCAAATGGAGGACCACATAGGTCCAGTCGTTCTTGATATAGGATATTGAGGCACCAATGAAGGCATGAAGGTTGCCCTTAACTGTCCAAACGTCTTGAATCAGACAAAACTTGCTGCTCATTTCCTGAAAAGTTCGAAGATGAAGAGTGAGTCAGTCATGATTTGAAAGTAAAGATGAATTATAGTAAAAAGCAAAAGAGAGGGAAGAGACATACCTTGAGGTCTTTTTCAATCACTAAATCCCGAAGAGAAAGGTATAGATGCTTAGACTCTTCAGCTGACCACTTCCGACCAAACATACGTAAGTCGGGCCGTAGCCAATATATGATTGACTTGAGAATTGGGTCTTTGATCCGTATGAAGGGCAACGCGTGGGTGACTTGCCAAACTGCTAGGCATTGGTTGAGGGTCTTGTTCGAAAAGGCAGGAGGTGATTCAACAAAGGAGGTTAGAGATGACTGGTTCTCATCTCTAAGACGTGCAGCACGTAGTTCGGATACAGTTGGAGGAAGCTTGGCTTCTCGCGCGATCATCTGTTGACGGCGAGGACAGCCGGCTCCAGATTTGCCAGGTTGCTTGTGTCCATCTCGATGGCCTTTGAGATTGGATCGACGTGAACTTGCACTCACTCGAACCACCTTCTTGCACCCGATGCACTTGTACGATAA